AGCATAGCAAACCCGAAGAAGGAACAGGGACAAATCAACAGAAACAGATAAATCAACGTCTACGCCGGCCTCTACCACGAAATCTACCCCTAGAGACAACATTTGAAACAGGTCTAGCATGAACCAGAGTGAAATCATTACCATGGTCAGAACCCCCACAAAAATTCGGAGAAGCCAGACCACCATCTGAAAAATCGGATTCAGATTCATATTCCGACGAACCATGCAACCAGTCAACGTGATTCCTAATATCCAAACCCGCAGTATTACCCAAGAGGTTAACCAAGTGAAGTGTTTCAATAATAGTAACCGGGACATCAACAAGAGAGTTAGAGCTCACCAAATTATCATTCACTTTCTCCACCTGAACACACTCACCATTACTTGCCAAATTCATGGCAGGATTACCCGACATCTCAATGACGAGAACAGCACCACCATCCACAGCACAGGGAACAACACGATCAGGATCGACCCCTCCCCCCTTAGGCGAGAGACCAGCCGATTCCTCAATAACAACCAGATCTTCAAAACCAGCCACAACAGGGCATTTGTCTACATCCTTATTAAAGTTACCGCTAGCATCGTTAAAAAGCTTTCCCGAATCAAGACCACCCTCAGTAACTACAATATTAGCCTCCTCCGACTCACTTAAAGCAACTAGCGGCAAAGGGGAGCTAGTAGGAACGGATTCGAGTACACCCACAGGGACAGACGGATCAACAGCATTATTCACCTCATTTAATTCCTCAACAGCATGCAGAATAATAGGGATTTTTTGAGCTGCAGTAGCATCTCCCCCTCCCCCTCCCAAAGTAGGAGAAGAATTAAATTCCAAAGCAGAATGACAGTTACCCGAAGGGTGCCCGATGCATTTACAAACAGAACAAAAATTAGGAAACTCGTCTAAAATCACATCTTGAACATAACCCAAGGTATCATAACCAAGCCAAACTTGTTTAGGGTAAGATTTTGTGATATCTAGCTCAACTAAAAACCGCGCATTTGAAGGACGAGAACCCACAGACGTAGCTTCGTCGATTTTTAGCGGCTTTCCAAAAATCTCAGCCAGCCCAAACAGAATTCGAGGAGAGAAAAAAAGAGGGCGAAGAAGAGGAAATGATATCCAGATCGGGATAATCGGAGATTCAACGTCGATATCTAGACTAGGAGATCATTTCGTTAATTTCATGAAGCAATTGAAAACAAGGTAGGAATGGTGACAAAAGACCCTGCAATAATCAAGGTCGTTGGCTAATTTGATAAGAATGTGAGATTGGTCAAGCACAGTCACATAAACTTCACCAATAAGCTTTAAATTGAAAAAAAAAATTGTGTATAGATTCAAGAGATGGTCTCTTAGAGGGGAAGAAACCGACTAAAGAGAATTGAAACGGAATAGCAAGTTCATTGATTTCCAAATCCGAAATCCAAAGAGATGGTAAGCCACGAAACGTGGACTTCCTCAGATCCGGAAAAACTGGCTTAGATCCGGCAAGAGCCTCACGAAAAGAACGAGAGTGAGAAACACCACCAAAAAAACCAGGGTCTTTAAGCTTTCAAGAAACCATGCCGGAACCGCCGGTGAAAGCGGTGAAAAAACACCGGAAAACAACACCAAAACAAGAAGCAAAGAGCAGGGAAAAAAAACTTCCCTAAAACCCGAAGTTCGCCGGAGTGAAAGGTCCCCCGAGGGGCGGGGACACCCCGGAGTCAAATCGCCCTCGCCCACGCAAACCCTAGCAGAGCGTGAGGAAACCAGGAGTGTACTTGCATATGTATGTATA